AAGCTCAGTTTGCCTTAGAAAAATCTCAAATTTTGGTACAATCTCGTCCTCTAGTCTCTCTCTCTTTAAAAGGCATTTCCTTTCCTAAAAAAAAAAAAAATCCGAAAATAAGAAAAGAAAGGAGATAAAAGCCTTAGAGAGTCTAGAGAGGTCGAATTTTAAGTCCCAAGGCAACTGGAGTTCGATTTTATGGAGTTTTGGAGATTGTTTTCTGATTCCCGGAAAGAATCTAAGTTTGGGGGAACAGCTGTTTACAACAAATGAGGAAGGATTATGCAACAACATTTGGCAAGAAGAAGTGACTGAAAACTGTGGTCATCAACAGGTCCTTATCTCTCTTGCGGTTTTGCATATTATCTTGCATCCTCCAGATCTTCAAGTAAACCGAAACACTTTAACTCCACCACTTAAATAGCCCTTTAATGCCAAACGCCGTCTACCCTGGATGATGTCTTTAATTAGAACTCACTATTGAATTTAATGAATGTAGAGAACTAGTTTACTGAAATCAAGATTTAAATTGTTTAAGTTTTGCATGACGGAAAAAGTGGACTAGTATGTCTTGTGCATTAGTGAGAATTTTCTAGACTAAGGTGTGGATTGATGCACTATCTTTGGTCCTAGTTTAGGAGTTCATGTCTATGAGATTTGTGCATTTCCTATTTTTGTTTTCACTTAACCAGTTTAAGGTTTTGCTTTGTTTGAGGACAAACAAAGGTTTAAGTCTGGGGGAGTTGATAACGCCGTATTTTGACCACTTTTATGGATCGTTTTGAAATACTTTTTCTATGTTTTTAATTGCTTTTAAGTACTTTTATTACGTTTTTCTAGTATTTGTAGTTCCAAGACTCTTTTCAGGAAACTTAGGGAAAAGCTTAACAAAATGGATAGAAAACCAGATTTCAGCTCAAAGTCAAACCGTCAGAAGTTCACCCCTTATTGAAAGCCTTCTCACCGTCTGATCTAGCTCAAATTTGGAGACCTTAAAGATGGAAGTATCAGCTTTCCAGTGCACTTTACAGCTTGGAAATCCAACGGTTCAATCAAAAGATACGCGAAGAGCAAGATGTCCCGTAAACCAGCTGGCCAGCACTTCCACCCGCGGCCAACAAGCATTTTCCCGCGGTCAGGAGCATCCCGACCGCGGCAAACCACTCATCCACCGCGGTCACACTTGTCCCGACCGCAGCCTTCAACCTCCGAGCCCAAAAAGCCCATTTCTGAAGCCCACATTTGGAGAAACCCTAAGTGACGTCTAGAGAGGTCTTGAGCACTATAAATACATGTCTTAGGAGCCCTAGAAATCGTGTAACCTATCACCACCAAAATATTTACTTCAAACTTTTATTGTTTTTGCTTTAGCTTTTAGGGAGAGAGAGATTTGTTCTCTTGAACCCTTGTTCTTTCTTTATCAATTTCGGTTTCTATTCTACTTCTTAATTTATGTCTTTGATTTCGTTCATTATGTCTGAGTAGTTTTATTGTTGGGATTAAGGGATTTTAGATGGGGATTTATATGTTCGGTGAGGATTCCATTGGCTATTGAGCTGAATCTTAGAACTTTTTCTTCTGAATTCGTTTTTACTGCATGAGGGTAGCGTCATGAACTACAATCTGATCCAGATGCTTGGTGACACGAAAGTGTTCATCAGGTATCAGATCTAGTTTAGGAGAGCAAAACAACCATAGGAGTGGAAACCTACCTATGGGCGATTTGTGAATTAGGACGAGTCTTAAATATAATGCATCTCTTCTCTTCCAGGGCCAGAGTGGAAACCTACTGGTCAGGGTTGAGAGAGATAGTTGTCTATGATCACGACAGTGGCGTATTCATATGTCCGTGACTCCAGTTCGAAAAGTTTAAGCTAAGATCTTATCAATTTACTCTCTAGCAATGTTTTGAATCGTTCGTACCCCTGAGAAAACTTCCCTGAACCCCAACGCTTTTTTCTCCATTGATTTACACTGATTTTCTTTAAGCTTTAGTTCAATATTGTCTTTCCTTTTTAGTTCATTTTCATTTAAGCATTAGAATATCCGTTTTTATTATTTTTAGTCATTTTTGTTAAGTTTAGTTATTACGCCATTTAATTTCCGTACTCTCTTTTAATATTTCGTTTTTACATTTTAAAGACACCACCAAACCCCCACTAAACCTTTTTTGTTCTAGACTTCCTTACTTTAACTTATTTCAAAGGCTTTTTGCAGCAAAAGATACTCCTTCCCTGTGGATTCGATCCCTAAGTACTACAATTGATCAGCTGTGCACTTGCAGCTATCGATTTCAATTAGGGTAAAACTTGACAACCCTCGACACTCACATCAAGACACCATCAGAGTCACGACAAGTGTTCTTTACCTAAACACGTGTCTATGTGTCAGTGGCTGTAGTAAATAGACCCTACCACAATTATTTATTATTTATCGGGTTTATCCATGAAACTTAAGTTTGTGTTTTCCCCCCAAAATCAGACATTTCAAAATTTGAGTTTCCCTTAAAACATCAAAATACAACACATACTCGGGTGTATGACCAAAACCACAAAAAATCAAATTTTTTTTCAAGAATGCCAAGTCTCGACTCGTCATCCGACTCGGAGATTACAAGCTGTAACCCTCCAGAAATATACATCTCCATGCGGTAGAGTATAACACACTCACAGAAGCAGTATTTTAAACCAAAATCATGACACTGAGAGGAGTTGGAGTATCTAATCGACCTAGATACGCTTGCTTAACAACAGATGCAACTAATCCTGGTGTTCCTTTGCTTTGTTTGCTGTTTGTACTCGCACTGGCCCGAGAACAAGTATGCATCTTCCGGTATACTGTAACAGAAAAACAAGGTGTATTCGTATTCTTCCAAGCTCGTAAATACCAATTACAACATGTTTCATCGCATAATTCACCACGTATCTCTTCTTATCTGAATTCTTTATAAGCAGACCAAAAATTATTTGATGTGAAGCTCTATCAAATTTTGTTTACATGCAAACTGTTGTCATACTCTCAGATTCATACCATCTTCCCATTCAAAATGTTATGTTTCTACTTCAGCACGGCGACCATCATCAAAATCAAACTGTATGTATTCATCCTCCTCGTTATCAAACTTGGCTTTAGCATCATCTACTCCATCAGCATTTTCATGTGATATATCATCACCATCTTCTCCATTGTCACGTGTTACATCATCACCATCTTTTCTCTCATCACAATCATCACCATCAGCTTCCTCTATCACCGGAACATTCTGCTGATGTTGTTTTGCTGAACAGTTGCCTGTGTAAATAGCAAGTACACCATTATTTAATCCACCATTCCCTAAACGCAACATCTCGTAATTGATATCAACTGAACTTACCCTCTAAACTCTAGAGAATTCATCTCCAAATTCAACACCTTTGATGACCTCTACAGTAATAATACTTCTGCGTCTCTCTTTATCCAATGAGGTCAGGAACACTGCCAGGTCATCATCGTTCGAAATATAAAATTGTCACTGAGTTTGCACTAGTACCGGAATGTAACTCAGTTTCAACTTAGTCGAAGATTCAACAATCCCAACCTTCGTGCATATCTTATCCACTAAACCAGAACAAGTAATCTCCTCCAAACTTGATGACTTAAACATTATACCATACATGGAAGCTGGTGCTGAAATCCATTTACACTCTGAAATTGACTAATATCCCCCATAAGCAAAAAATATGTTCGTAATCATTATCATCTGAAAAAGTGACAGATAGACCATACTCAACTTCATAAAAAAATGTTTCCAGTTGTACGCGAGTTATACCAATTGTTACTTTCTCTCTCGTATAATTAGTCAACTCGGAGAAAAAACCAATTGTTACTTTCATCAGTTGCATCCTTTTTATGTATGTTTTTTATGAAAAAAATAAAAAAAAATAAAAATTATTCTCTTCCCTTAACTAGTTTAGTCGATACAAATTTCTGATTTACCTAAATTAAAAAATAAACTAATAAACACAATTTTTTCTTTCATATATTTTCAGTAAATAAATATAAAATAAAATTTAAAACTAATTTCAAATCACAAAGATCGATGAATTTAATATAAATTTTAGTCAATATTATCTTAAATTGATAAATATCAAACCTTTTATCGAGTAACATATTGTGTGTAATAACTTCTAAATAATTTTTATTGACAACCAAGAAAGGAAAAAAAATTCTCTTTATTTTACCATTTTAACGAGTATAAATTATACTTGATAGCATTTAATTATTCCTTAATAGATTATTAAATTATTTTTTTTTAATATATACTAAAATAGATTTCACAAATTTGTTGTCACCCTTAAATTATGTTTAAACCACCAATTATCTCCACATATTAATGAATATGTTATTTTTTATGTTATAGTATATTTGTTTATATAATTTTAACTTGTATACATTATTTTAAATTCTTATAATGCTTGTACGTTAGTATACTAAAAAGATAACTAAAAACAATAACAAAATAATCACTTACTATTTAATAAAAATAGTATTGACACATTAAAATTAGTATATGTTTCTTCTCTAATAAAAGAAAATAAGATTTTTCATCATCTTCAATTTCATTTTTTTAATATCAGTTTTATAAGAAAACTAAAAAACAATTTTAAATTTTACTTTTTTTCCTTAATTGATTGCATATTATTATATATTTAAGTAAATTTGTATTATATTTAAAAAATATTCTTAATTTAATATTATTTTAGTTTTTGTTGTTAATAGAAATTTAATACGTAATTTCTTTATTCTTTTATATATATTTTATTAACTATAATAATAATTTTTAGAATTATTTTTTAATTTTAAATGTTAATATAAACTAATAGAATTGTCTTTTTTAATACATCTTTTAATCCTTTAATCCTATGTGAACTTATTGGTAATAGGATTTTGCTCAGTGTAATGGAATTCACATTCAGTGTTTAAAAGCCCAATAACAAAGCCTGACATGTTGAGCTAAAAAAAAAGAAAAACAGTGAGAGAGCGAGTAGACACAACACAATTCTGCTCAAACAGCTACAGCGATGGCGAGCAGAGTTTACGCTCATTACCACCACGCCGATGCCTGTAGCAAAGCACGCTGGGACGCCAGGTTTGATTTAGGAATAAAATTGTTTCTGATTGGGGACTAGTTTAGGATTAAACTAGTTTTTGTTATCTTTTTGCTTTTGTTGTTCGGAATAAAGGAGAAATTGATCAGAAAAATTCCGACAATGATTCAGTTATTTTGTGGACCAGAACAAGTTCTTCATTGAATTGAGAACACATTAAGTTTTTCTTTTTTAATTTCTTCCTCTTTTTTCTTTTCTCTTAATCATATTTTTTTTTAAAATGTGTTTTATTTTTTTTGGCAGAGAGACCTTTCGGTTTATGTATGATAGGCCCTGGCAACATGTTCTTGATTTCTACTCAAACGCAGTGGAAGGGAAACTTTCAGTTCTGAAATTGTTTGAGGACAATGTTAGTATCTTCAAACACCAGTTGTGTCAAGATGGCTTGTACCATCCTCATAACTCAAATGATTCATCCTTATGCCCTCTTTCAGAAAACTTTGGTCCGTGATGATGATGCAATAACCCAAGGGACGCCTCTTGAAACTGAATTGGACACTTCTGGTAGAAAAGACGGAAGAACAGGGAGGTGGGAAAGAGTAAATTTCAAGATTGTTCTTTCGTACAATGGGGCTTCATTCGATGGATGGCAGAAACAGCCTGACCTACACACTGTTCAGAGGTATGGTTTCGTCTTTTCAGTTTTCGAATTTATCGAAACATTGGGAATCTTTGTGTTTTAGTTACTTTAAGGCCTTTGAGGAGGCCTGTAGGGACAAAAGGAACAAATATTTGTTTTCAACTATTTTCTTGACCCATGGCACTTGAGAAATGAGAGGGAAATCTCAATCTGAAAATCTATACAAAATCGATCTATCTGCCCTTTTAGACAAAATTTCTATCTTTAAAGTTTACAGCCAGTTAATATCTGTAAAAACAGATCCACTAAAATTTAGAAGCACAAGCACCGATCTTATTTATTTAGTTTCAATACTCCTAGTGCCTTATGCATCTACTCATTCTCCTGGAAAAGTGATTGCTGTAGCGTTTTGTGGTTTTAAAGTGTAGTAGAGAAGTCTCTCGGGGGATTTGTTGATGAAAAGAAAGCCCAACTACTCAAGAAAAAATGTAAACCATTAGAAGGCCGTGTACTTGTTTCTGGAAGAACCGACAAAGGAGTGTCTGCTCTTAATCAAGTTTGTTCTTTTTGTACGTGAAAGTCATCTTCCTGCCTATGTAGTATAATGCTTTTTTTTTATTTCCCTAAGTTAACCAATAAGTAATAGGAAAACATTTTCATCTTTGTTATGCATGACTACTCGAGTAGGTTCGTACCAATAATTAAGAGATTCTTGTTTTTTTACATAACTTGGACCAGGTAAAGGGCATGCCCGTTACAGCTAGGCAACGCAATTAATTTAGGGTTGTCTAATCTTGCTTTTTTTTCCTCTTAGATACCTGGAGAAAAGACATTGAACTCATTGATATTGAAGATGCTATCAATAAAGATGCTTCTGGGAAGCTTAGGGTTGTGTCAATCTCTAAGGTATACTCTCATTCAGGATGGTTTTGCTTCACTTTTCAGATTTTGTGGAAAATAATTGATGAAAATATGTGTATAGATACAAGAATTTTTTTTTAATCGCATTTTCGGAACTCTGAAATGAAATTGCAGGTTTCCCGAGCATTTCATCCAAATTTTTCTGCAAAATGGAGGCGCTACTTGTATATCTTTCCCTTGGATAATGCTGAGCCGTGTGAGAGTGGAAAGACTCGTGAAAATTTTATCTTTCATGAGAACCACGGAAAGCAAAGAAATGGGCTCTTAAGTGAAGAGGAGACCGAAGGAGTAAGCGAGGATGATGAGCTTGAAATTGATGAAACAGAAAAAGTGAATGGGCTTCAAGTAGTAGAAAAACCAAGTGAGTTCAGTGTCAGCAAGGTTGATCAACTTTTACAGCAGCTTCAAGGAAAATTATTATCCTACAAGATGTTTGCGCGTGATACGAAAGCTGCAAGAAACGAGTAAGAGCCTCACACAAGTCATTCATATTGCCTTTTAAGCATTGGAATAGTTTAGACCACTTTCTTATTAGCATGGAAAGTTACCCTTCTTATTCTAGTTATATGAATAGGTGTACATTGGCATAACTTTGTAGTCTTAATGGTTTCTTACTTGGGTTATCTTGACATTACAGAGGTCCACCTACAGAATGTTTCATGTACCATGCACGTGCAGCCGAGATTAGATTGTCCTGTCCTGTAAGTTTTCGGTTGTATTCTCTCCTTAGATGTTGTTTCTGTACTTTGCACCCTAACGCTCTAATGCCAATTGTTGCGTTAAGGTACTTCACACCATAGTTTTATGTAAGCATTCAAGACTTAGCTAAAAGCTCGTATCCCTCTGTTGTCGATATGATATTACGTGTTCCAAATTTTTTGTTGAGTTGCTTTTTGGTGCATCAATATTACTTGTAATCCTTGCTACTGAGGATAGACAGAAACAAAAATGTATATTGCATCTCGTAGATTAAACCTTTCTTGAGATTAGCCAGTACATTATGCTCCCTATATGAAATTAAGGCTGACGTCATTTGATGAACTGTACCAGGACTATGTGGAAGGAAGAAGAGTGATGTGTGTTGAGCTAGTCGCTAACCGATTTCTCCGCAAGGTGTTAACTCTAAGCCTAATATTAGCTTCACTTAAGTTGCAGAACCTTGGGTTCTATGTAAAAGAAATGTTTATTTTTACACTTTCAAAAAGTATTTTAAAAAATCACACTGTACATGTATGGGAATTGGCACAACAGCATCCCTGAACTCGTCCCCAAAGAGTCGTGTTTTACTGTCAAAATTGCTTTGCTTGGCTGAAAATAGTTTTATGCCTCATCTTCTCCTAGTAGTTTTCTCATCCGTTTTTCTGCATTTTCTTGCATTGCCTAACGTTCAACTCAAAACCATGTCTTTGTAAATTTCAGATGGTTCGAGTTCTTGTAGCAACGTCAATCCGAGAAGCTGCTGCTGGCGCAGAAAATGATGCATTGTTAAAACTGCTGGAAGCTTCATGCAGAAGAGCCACAGCTCCTCCGGCTCCATGCGAAGGTCTCTGTCTATTCGACGTTGGTTATGCTGACTTTGACCCTCAAACTTCTCTCATTTCCTGAGAATGGCATTTATAATACGTTTGACTATCACATATTGGATGAAATCTTCATGCTTTAGCTTGGAAGTCCCCTTGTCGTTTAAGGAAGCAAGACAGAATATTTTTTGTATCATGGTTGTGGAAATACAGTAGTTTTAGCCTTGAAATTGGTTTGCTATTCATGTTCTTTTATCACTAGCATTCTCATGTGGACGTAAATGAGTATGTATTGCAGGTTTTATTTACATGCCATATATGATGAATATGAAAATGTCAAGCAACCATGTCATAATCTACAGATAGATGGAAGAGACAATTGTAGTATTCATGCATTTGTGTATCATGTTTGTTGCAGATACATTATACGCTATAACACAGATCCAGCTTTCATCTACTTCAGTTCTACAGGTACAATGTCCACACATCCATAGACTCGCATCTTGTTTTATACAGCACAAAAGGGACCTCTTGTCTCTTCTTACTAAATGTTGATGCTCTCGCTTGACACTCCTTTAGAAGACCTCCCATCAGTTTCACTCACATACGTTGAGTAGAAATCGTCATCATCCCCGTCCCGGTCCTTCAACTCCTCAATCCTCACCACTGCCTCTCCTATCTCCAACCTTTTCTCCACGTCCGGTTCACAACAGCTCAATCCGATCTTCAAGAGTCTGAGAATCTGTCCTTCACTATGGCTTGTCTTTCCCATTTCTTTATCGAACATACCCGGTGCCCATACCCCTTTGAAACCCAAGTTCACCCAACTCACTAAATCATCCTCGCTCTTGTTAACACCTTGCACGAAATTGGCTGGGAACTTTCCCGTTAAGATCTCCAAGATGAGTATGCCAAGCCCCCATACATCGGTTTTCTTGGTGACACGTCGGTGTTGCAAATACTCTGGGGATTTATAGGCCACCATGTGCTCTTGTGCCTTCAATTGGTTGATCACTGGTATTAAGCCATAGTCTGTGAGAAGAGGTTCAAACGTTTTTGTGAGGAGCACATTGGAGGATTTGAGATGACCGTGCGGAGCCATTAGGCTAGGTAGATCTTGGTGGAGATATAACAGTCCTCTGGAAACTCCTTTCACAATCTTCAATCTAGTTGGCCAATCCAAACTTGGTTTTCCTAACGGTTGATTACCTAATAAAACACCACAAAGATTTGACTCTTAAACAACAATAGATCATTATGACTTTGACTAATGGTAGCAAATGGGGTAGGTTAATCTGCTATGGACTAGCCTGCTCAATATTACAGACAGACGAGATAGGCTAGTGCGCTTGTAAAGGGTGAACGAGAAACGGACAAGTCCATTCCGTTTGTTGAAATTATCCAAAACTTTAGAATAAGTGTAAAAGTAACAAAAACTTACCATGAAGATTTACAGCCAAGCTTCCTCTCTCAGCAAAATCACATACCAATAGCTTTTCCTCTTTCCTATAGTAATAAGCAACAATAGGAAGCAGATTGTGGTGCTTTAACCTCCCCAGTCTCTTCATGTGCTCTTGAAACTCATCCCTCCCTGCATTATTCATCTGCTTGAACCTCTTCACGACCATCATTACTCCGCTTGATAACACTGCTTTATAGGATGCACCAAAACATCCACTTCCAAGTATCTCGGCCGAAGCCTTCAACAGATCTTGCAAGTCAAAATTTTCCCTATCTTCCCTCAAGAATGAAAGCTTTGTATTCTCCACTCCAGCTGCTGTAGCCATCCTCTTAGCGGTGCTTGAGCCATTCCGGTAGCTTGATTGTTTCTGTTCTCTATGGTTTTTGTCTGCTTCTCGGATGCCGGTTTTCTTCTGTAGACTTGATGGTCTGGTTTCCGCTTCCAAAGGTGGTTTTTTATTCATATAGTTGCGATTAAGAAAAATGATTGCTCCAAGGATTATGACCACTGTCAGCGCTGTGACCACTGACGTTATAACGAGAGGCGTCATTGATGATGATTTGGGTCGTGCCTCAAGTTGTGGTGGGAGTTCATTAACCACAGAGTCGCACACTGTTTCCAGCGGTTCACCACATAAAGCTTTGTTACCTTCAAACACCTTTGGATCCATCATTCTGAGACTCTCAGGGACTAGACCTGTTAATGCATTGTTTGAAAGGTTTAACATGTGGAGCTTATGTTCAAACTCTGGTATTTGTCCAGTGAATTCGTTCCCGTCAAGTCTCAGTTCTAAAAGCTTAGGCAATTTGCCTACAGATATCGGGATTTCACCAGTAAACTTGTTTTGTGCCAAATAGACCTTCTTCAACCACCCCATACCTTCAAAAGCATTCCCTGGTATCTCTCCTCCGAATTGATTGTTCGACAGATAAAGTGACTTCAGAGCAGTGAGTTTCTTGAACTCTGGGAATGGTCCTCCAAACTTGTTGTTCATGAAGCTTAATGTCCTCAACGATGTCAAACCCGCCAATGCATCAATGTCTATAGAACCAGAAAGCTCCAAGCTCTCCATCTGGAGTCCCCAGACAGAACCTCTATTGCACAAGACACCAGCCCAAGTGCAGGGAGGAGTTTTATCATCCCATGAGGCCAACGCATTTGCCTGCCCAACAACTAAAGATTTCTTGAATTTGAGGATAGCCTCGGAATCCGAAAGACCATGAGTGGCTGTGGAGAGGAGCAGGAGGAGAGACACTAGTGGTAGAATCATGACGTTGTATAGCTTAGGGAACGCGCCTGCATAGGAGGCGCGCGCCCTCTTGAGGAAAGAGGAAGAGGAAGACGACGAGAAGAGACAATGTGATGTTACAGCTTGAGCTGGTTGCACAGCAGGAGAAAGGAGAGAGAAAGGAGATGAACGGTAAAGAGAGGGGTTTGCATCAAAAGCATTCTAATAATAGGTTTGTGGTGAAACTTGAATTGCTGACCTGTGATGTTCTTAAAGATTACATCATACAGCATCAATACTCAATTATATTTTCTGTCATGTCCAATCAACATAACAAATTATGCCTTCATCGTCTGTATAGATAAAACCCTGAACCCAAATGTGGCAGTTTGTTTTCATTTCAGATATAATATTCATTGTTATCTGGTCACAGCTAGAGAAGCTATCATTTCCTATATCGTCAGGAACTAAGTGTAACTAATGAAAGAATGCTCTCACTTACTCTTTGAAATTTTTTTTCATATCTTAGTCCCTTACTAATAGTTTCTCTTTTAAAACTACTTTACTTCTTGTTTCTAATCTTTAAACCTTTAAATTTAGTTTTTTTTTTTTTTTTGAAAAGGAACCTTTACACTTAGTTATACCACCTTCTATGCTGACTTACAAAAATATCAGATAATTCTGTAGTACAATTTGCCAACAAAAGATAAATCCCTTTAAAATGTAGGAATATAAGAAAAGTCCGGATGCATTTGGAATTAGTTACAAATGATAAAGACATTCTATAAGGAGACAATAAGAATGAGAGTCAAAGGTTTTATTTTTTTGTTGGGCAGCGTTTGCTAAAATTAGCATATTCAAACGCGTTTCGCTCCAAATTCAACATAGTTGGAATTATATATAAACTCATTGAGTACATGTTTGTTGCAGAATCAAAACAGAAACCTGACAGAAGGAAGTGGAAAATGGTGAAAAGCTGCGAGAAAAGAGAACAAAACATTACGTTGGCCATTGACAGAGACAAAGAGAGCCAGAACGCATTGAAATGGACTGTCGATAACCTTCTTAGTCGAGGCCAGACACTTACTCTTCTTCATGTCAAACTCAAACACCCCCCTTCTCTTCCTTATTCCGGTACGGAACCATCTTGAACCCTTTGTTTCAAACATTAGTCAACTTTGTTGTTTCTTGTTGCAATTGTCAATCTCTGTGTCTGCGCTGGCTAAAAAGGCATGAAAATATTCTTGATTGATGCTTTATTCATCTGATAATGCAGGGTCTCACCCTAATAGGTCAAGCGATGACGGGACAGAAATTTTTCTTCCATTCCGTTGCTACTGTGCTAGAAAAGACGTGCGTTTTCACTTCAACTTCGATCCTTTTTATACATTTCAGTTCATTTGACTGACTCTTCTTGTTCCTGTAACAGGTCAACTGCAAAGATGTGATTGTGGAGGACTTTAGTGCGGCCCAAGGAATACTTGACTATGTGCAAGAGAATGCAGTGGAGACTCTAGTACTCGGTGCATCGAGGATGACACTTTTAAGGTAATTAGACAAATGCTTTCTTGCAACTAAGACTAGTTCTGAGCATACTTATTATAAATGCTTTCTTTGGTAGAAGGTTCAAAGCAGCGGACGTTTCAAGCACAGTAATGAAAAAGGCGGCGAGTTTCTGTACAGTATATGCAATCTCTAAAGGAAAGATCTCGTCCATGAGATCAGCTACAGCTTCACTCCGGAGTTCCACTATGCGGCAGCATGTACACGCTCAGACGAGCTATCAAAATGGTATATATAGCCAAATTTTTGTTCTAACATCACATAGATTTAAACTAGATTTGTTACCTTAACTGATCAAGTTGGCTTTAACATCGCAGTTGAAAGGAGGCAACAAACAATGCAAAGAACACAAGAAGAGATCGAGATCAAGTATGTTTGTTTACCTATATAACGTGTTCCATTCTTGTCCACAAAATAAGTTTAATGTATGGTGAACACCAATGTTGTATAGGTCTCCCTTTATGAGAAGAGGATATGAAGGAACATACCAGCCTTCGATTACAGACTCCGACATATCATATGTGAGTAGTGGAAGACCGAGCGTTGATCTGATGTTTCCTTCTTTTTATGACAATGTGGATAATCCACGGCTCTCCCTCAGCTCTGATTTTGAAGAAAATCGAATTAGTTTTGCTACATCATGCTCGTCAGATAAGCAGTCCATAGATCTTGGATCATCATATGCAGCATTCTCTTCAAGCTCACTTGAAAGTGGGAGACAATCATGTTCACTATCGAGCCAGGTAAGCACACATTGCATTACTCAGGCTAACATTACATGCACATGAGATTTTTTTTTTTTTTTTTCATTTAGTTAACCGGAAATCTGACAGGATGAGATTGAAGCGGAGATGAGAAGGCTGAAAATGGAGCTAAAGTATACGATGGAGATGTATAACAGTGCCTGCAAGGAAGCAATCTCTGCAAAGAAGGCAGTATGTTTGAGTTTTTAACAATAAAAAAACTAATTTTTCCATCAGATTCTCGAACGACTTATAATCTGATTAATCTCTAATCAGGCTACTGAGTTACACAAGTGGAAAGCAGATAAAGAACGGAAATTAGAAGAGGTAAGACTTGCCAAGGAAGCAGCAATGGAAATGGCAGAAAGTGAGAAAGAAAAAAGCAGAGCAGCCATGGAAGCTGCAGAGGCAGCTCAGAGAATAGCAGAAGTTGAAGCTCAAAAGAGAAAGCACATTGAAAACGCAGAGGAAAAGAAGAGGGAGATGCATTCTTTAGTGAAAACTAGTTTAAGGTACAGGAAATACATGATTGAGGAGATTGAAGACGCCACAGAAGATTTCTCAACGAGTCGAAAGATTGGAGAAGGAGGCTATGGACCGGTTTACAGGGGAACACTAGATTATACTCAAGTCGCAATAAAAGTTCTACGACCAGACGCGGCACAAGGAAGGTCTCAATTCCAGAAAGAGGTTGAAGTACTAACCTGTATGAGACATCCAAACATGGTTCTGCTACTTGGAGCATGTCCGGAATACGGATGTTTAGTCTACGAATACATGGCAAATGGTAGCTTAGAAGACTGCTTATTCAGACGAGGAAACACTCCAATCCTTTCTTGGCAGCTAAGATTTCGCATAGCAGCTGAAATCGCAACCGGTCTTCATTTCCTCCACCAGATGAAACCGGAGCCTTTGGTGCACCGGGACCTTAAACCGGGAAACATTTTACTTGACCAGCATTTCGTCAGCAAGATTTCCGATGTGGGCTTGGCCAGGCTAGTCCCTCCATCTGTTGCTGACACTGCAACCCAATATAGAATGACGGCAACTGCTGGAACATTCTGTAACATAGATCCAGAATATCAGCAGACCGGTATGTTGGGGACTAAATCAGACGTTTACTCGTTCGGGATTATGCTTTTACAAATACTTACGGTTAAGCCACCAATGGGTTTGACTCATCACGTCGACAAAGCAATCCAAAATGGAACTTTCGCTGAGATGTTAGACCCTGCTGTCCCTGACTGGCCATTGGAAGAGGCTTTGGTTGCAGCGAAACTTGGTCTACGATGTGCGGAGTTAAGACGCAAAGACAGACCTGACTTGGGGAATGTTGTTTTACCTGAGCTTAACAGACTAAGAGCTCTAGCCGAAGAAAGGATGCCACCCATTAACTTTGGTGGAAGCCAACGACCTTCACCGAGTAGGAACCGGAATAATAGCCATACCCAAAGTCCAGTGTCTACAACTTCACTGCATGTATGAATCCATTAAGCACCTTTTTCAGATTTTTAACATGCCTTGGTTAGTAAACTATATTTTCCCTTTGCAGGAGAATATAAGTGATCCACAGCTACAATATGGATCTGATAATTCAAGTTCTCACAATAATTCTACATCTTGAAGAGGGAAATCCAAGTCAGAAACAATCAAAGAAAGAACATATACATCAAGGAGAGGAAGGAAAAATATTTTTTGGTCAAGATCAAGAATTATTATTACACATGGTGTATACCGAAAATTTTAACAGAGTAATCTGTTTATATATCATGGGTTTTAGAGTTCCTATGATGTTAACACTAAACCCTTATAGACCTAAGAATCTCAAACTTTGATTTGTTTATACGAGCATACCAATTTGGTTTTCTATATGTATAGGCAAAACTCCTAAGAAAGTACAGAAATGAGGTAGAACTGAGCACACAAAAGCTTTAACGAGTCTCTATATTTTATTAAGTTCATAATCCCCGTAAAAGGTCACAATCTCAGTTTTGGCTATCTATCTATATCATTATTTATAGTGATTTGCTTATTTATCTGCTTCTCAATGTGTCAGAGTGTTTTGCTTATCATTATATTATATATGAAGTATTAATCTGATGTGCTGCGTTCAAAGCGTTTCTCGAAAAAAATAATGATGTGTTTTACTATTATTCGTCTAATTTGCGTACATGTCGTTTTCACTTAAATCAAACCGAGAATTTTCACTTAAATCAAATCGAGAATCTGATTTTGGATATACCGATATTTTTAAAAATGATTTCGAATGGTTTAGCTGACCAAACGAATTCTGATTTTGTTTCGTTAATAACAACAACTGGTTCTCAATATAAGTTTTAATTATCAGTTTGATTTGGATAAAACGGTTGAATTCGGAATAAGACAGTTTCCTTGATATAACCTCCATGTCGGTTTCACTTAAATCAAACCGAGAATCTGATTTCGAATATACCAAAAATTTTTAAAATGATTTCGAATGGTTTATCTGACCAAAAGAATTCTGATTTGTTTCGTTAATTACAACTAACATTCTGGTTTTCAATATAAGTTTTAATTAATGGTTTGATTTGGGTAAAACGGTCGAATTCAGAATAAGACATTTTCTTTGATAAGAAACCCATGTCGGTTTCACTTAAATCAAACCGGGAATCCGATTTCGAATATACCATGATTTTTTAAAATGATTTTGAATGGTTTACATGACCAAATGAATTCAGATTTTGTTTCGTTAATTTCAAATAACCAACTGGTTTTTAATATAATTTTGATTATCGGTTTGATTTAAGTAAAATGGTCGAATTCGGGATTAACCTTTTTCTTTGATAAAAACCCCACAAAATCAAAATATTCTGGTATTGTTATAATGTTTCAACTAACTAATCGGAGTTTTGTATTAATTTGATTACTTAAATTTTGGTGTAGCGTAATTCTTTCGCGATTAGTTTCTGATATTTAACCTCATTTGTTATTCGAAGGATAAAATTTGTTTGTTGTAAAAAGTTAGTTTAACTGAACTAAAAAAATATTACAAAAAAGTACAATCGGTAATGTTATTATGCCCATATTTAGGATATAAAAGGATAACTATACACATTTAAAAAGAAAAAAAAACATCTCCTTCCACGAAATAGCAATTTTATGCATATCAAAATAACTAGTTTGACAAACTGAATAAAAAATAAAATATACCAAAAAACGTTCTCTAATATTTCCGTCTAAATATCTTAATTGTAAATCTAAAAAACAAAAATAAGCAGATAAATATACCAAAAAGTAAAAACCCAAATTCTTATTATCTTGGGAAAACGACGTATTTCCCCCTTGACTATCATATAGCAATAGATTCACCCAAAGTTTCGACCTCGTCGTAAATACCCCTAATTACAAATTTCAAAACGTATTTCACCATAATTTGAAAGTTCGAAACTTAATTACCCATAAATGTTGGTTTTCTCGGTTTATAACATAAACCAAAACTAAACTGGCTAAACCCAACACTAAACCAAATTAAAAACGAGATAATTATCAAAGACACTTTTCATCTTTTTTATTACCATTAAAGTCACTTGAGTGTTTTGGTGTACTTATCTTATTTTGTTACACCATATTTTCCAAATATACTATTTCTTTATATTTACTTTATTTTATATTTAAAAAATAAAATATAAAACACATGGAACCCACTTGACTTTACTCTTCTACTTTCACACACTAAATCACACGGGATCCACCTTGACTTCATTCAGATCGATATAATTATAATCATATATATATATGTATCCAATTATATGAATACACATGTAAATATATATATATATATACATCAATATAGATACATCCATCTATGCTTTATACACATAGATATGCATATATATATATAATTATGTCTATATATACGTAACTATATGGATACATATGTAAATATGTATATGTATCTATATAATTACGTCCATCTATACTATATATACATGGATATGTATATATATATATATATAATTGTGTCTATATATACGCAATTATATGGATACACATATAAATATGCATGTATATTTACATTAATGCATCTACATATGTCATATCTATGTGGATATGTATAGGTGTCCATATATTTTGTGTCCATATATATGTTACTATATGAATATGCATGTATTATATCAATAACGACATAAAAAATGAAGTTAAAAATTATCAAATGGATATCAAAGTATTAAGAAAAAAAAATAATTTATAATGTCAAAATAATTATTTGATTATTTTTGTAATAAAAGATAAATAAAGACAAACAAATATGAGGATTTTGTGTAACAGAAATATTAAAAATAAAAATAATTTGTGTGGGTCTCATACGTTTTAATGTGTGGAAGCAGCTTATGAGTGAAATCAGTAGTAATTTCGTTTTTTCCATATATGAATAGTAACCTAATAGTGTCAAAAAGTCCACCAAACTCAAAAAGTATATATAGAAGGTATTATCTTCTAATAAGTCCCCTAAGAGGTAACACACTCAATTAAAAACATATATTCAAACTCGACACTAAACCGAGATTTATGATTTTGGATATTAACCCCTTAAGTTTAAGATTTTAATACATTGACACTACAACTTAAACCATCTTTTTTCATTTTCTTCTTCCCCTGTATCGAACTTCTCTCGATTGGGATTTAAAATTTCTTAAACTTTATTCCGTTCACAAGCTTAAATCTGTTACACCTTGTTTTGTTCTACAAGAATATAACAATTCTGCCTACGAGATTTTTTTTAAACCTATAGAATTTCCAGAGAAAGAAAAGAGTGAAGACAGATATAACGTTGTTGTCACACAGAAAATTGAAATTAGGATTTTTGAGCAATCTGAACGGAGGAGGATGTGCGGTTGTGGCTGTAATCCATGGAATTGAAGTGTCTCTGTTCTCTGATGAGACTGATTGGGTTTCAACATTGGTAAAAGCAATGGCATTACGGATTTATTGTTGCGTCGTGGAACTTGACGGGAACATGTTCTTCTTACATGATTTAGATAATCAAGGGATTACCATGATGGAGAACACGACTAGATTTAGTATGAGCCATTCCTTAACCTAGCTCTTCCGCAACGGCTGAAGGTTAAAGATGTGGATTTCGATTTTATGGTCATATTTCCGCCGCCAATCTTTGTTACAGAGGTGGAGAAAAGAGGTTGTGTATGAAGAGAAGGCGGAGGAGAGGGGTGGATGCGCAGAGGAGAGGGAGAGCAGAGGTGGACAAAGATGATCAGATATCATCGCTGATTTGAAGATTTTTAATTTTGAGAAATTTTAATTTTAAGAATTTTAGTGACTGTAATCGGATGTGGGTGAATATATTTGGGTTAATTGGTTCTATTGGGTTGTAATTGGTATAGTTTTGGTTTAATATTATGTTTATATTGTTAAAACTAGAATGGTAAACAGTATAGTGGGTTAAATCATGGTTTGGGTGGTTTTTAATGGGAAAACGACGTATTTCACTAGTGTGTCATTATTTAAAAGCGATTCGTTTATGTGTCAAAATTCACTTAAAATGAACAAATTTTTTTCCAAATGAACAAGATTCGAAACAAACCAAATCCGATAATTTTGGTTTGGTAGGTTTAAACTTTGATGGGAAAACCAATTGTTGATTTTTTTTGTTATGCTTATATGTCCAATTTACTAAAAACAAATAAATTTGTTTAAAACAAACCGGTTAGCTTCGCCTATGTGTCTAACTTAATTAAAACGAACCAAAATAAAAATAGTGTCCAATTTACTTAAAACTGCATGGTTTGATCTCCTTGGTTTTGAATAGAGATCAAAGCGCATTTGCTCTGAAGATTTTCGACCATGTTTTTGATCATATTGCCCTGGTTTGTTAAAAACCTAATTATAAAAAACTAATGGCATAAACATCATAACAAAGAAAAAAAGTACAGTAACGTAATATTTCATTCAAAATAATGAGTCTTGTTTTCATCATCAATCTCGTAGATGATTTGTCTCAATCATTCTTTCTTCTTCTCTTGTTCTTGTCATTGTATAACAAAGAAAGATAAGCCATCTTCGCTGGGGTTATAGAGTTTCCTTCAGATATCTACCATTTTGCATTTCTTTACTGTTTCATTAAAAACCTTGTTACGGAAAAACTCAATAGGAAAAAAACCAGAACAAGATAAGAAAAATGCAGTCAGAGACAACATCATACTTTTCCCCTTGCAAACATCATTAGTTAGGTTCGACATGTCAAAGCTGGTTCCGTTTTACTGCAATAATAAGCCAGAAATGCATATCGCTGTAATTCCGGTTTTCCACGAGAAACCTAAACACATTGAAAAATATTGTTGTTATGCTCGTGATGCCGTTAATGATGGTGTTATTGCTACAATTCATGTTTAAACCAAATATTAGACATTTTGGCGAAAGCACTTGGCATCCTCAGTTTAATTATAATGTGTTGTTGTCCAAGTTGGGCGCTGAAAAATTCCACACTCCAACTTGAGGGAGAGTATTAGGGAGTGGGCTCGGTATTCATATCGAGCTTTGTTATGACGGTGTGTTTAGCCTTGTACGGTAAGCTATTACACCTTGTATATATATGTCATGTATAATGTCGATATCAAAACATCACAATATTCATAAGTATCTTAACCTTTACATGTCTATATATAAATTAGGAAATGGAAAGAGAGGGAGAAAGCTAGGTAGATTTTAATTCTTTTAACATAAATATATTGCCACAAAGTAATTCAACACTTTGTTTTTTTTTTACCTATTTCATTAATGTAAATTTTATATTCCTCTGATAAATATATATTTACAGGAGAGAGAGATTTCAGTTCCTTTTACAGAAATATGTTGTCATATTATAATTCAACATTTAAATATTTTCTATCTATTTTAATACATTTCATAATGTAAACTTAAATTTATAATTTAAAAATAATAATAGAGCTTTCTATATTTGTAAATATTGATTTATGTAATATCTTAAAAATAAATGTTTATTTATGTAAAATATTCTGTAATATCTTACAAATAAAGGTTCATTTATGTAAAAGTCTACTCAAATAATAATATAGAGGTAAATACCATTATAAACACTTTCCATGACTTATATGTCCATTATAGACAACAGTGTTTTGATACATTTATTTCTTTCTTTTACCTACTTTATTGACTTATTTTTACCATTACACATCTCTCTTCAACTTCTAATTATTCTTTACATTGTTCTCTCTTTTTTTTTCCACTTTATCTTCAAACTCATTTTTCATATTCCCTTTCTTCTTTATCTCATCGATTTTTCCTAGATAACAGATAAAAAATACGGCCTAAGCTTATAGTACCGGGCCTCGAATCCGGTTGGATTCGGCTGATCTGGCCCAGTAGGCCACCTGTTCCCGGGTTCCTCGTGTCTGACTGCACAGGCCACACTGTTAGAGACAAGGAAGTCGGAAACTGAGTGGTTACGAGGAAGAGAGGTCACATTCTTTATATCCTAGACCTAAGCTCGGTGACCCCGAAGAGTAGGAACATAAGGAAGAGTGACCCGCACAGCTAAGTGCAAGACCTTCCAGTCGCAGCAGCCCGGTCCTAGTATCGAGGGATCCAGACCAGGTAAGAGCTATCCATTCAAGCGAGAAAACTATTCGAATTTTCCTCCATCCTACAATAAGAATATACTTTAGTCTGATTCGATTGCCCATACCCTTACAAGCCCACAAAAATGGCATTTAATGCATTTTCCTTACGCGTGTCAGGTGACAGGGACATCTCGCATGAGTCAGGGGGAAAAGCAGAGGTTCAGTGATAAACAAGAGATTTAAGCTCTTAAAGGGTTATCAATCCCTTTGCTGTTGTAGCATAATCCATATGTGTGGTAGTTAGGCACTAGTTTATGTGACAAGTTCTTAAGTCAAGTGAAACAAGAAAGGTTTGGTGAAGAGAAAGTAACAAATGAAAGCATAAACAAGAAACAAACAAGCAATGATTAATGAACTAAACAAATAAATTAACAAAGATGATGATTATAAAGAAAATGATAAAAGCTAAACTTCTAGATGTGATCATTGATTAGGGTACTTTCATTGTTGATCCATGATGTTAAGAAAACAATGTAACACTTGTTACTCTTTAGTATAGACTTCAAAAGCAGATTAATTCATTTCCATGAAAATAATCCCTTTGCAAATCACTTAATCAAGATTAATTCACCTTAAGCAAGACTAAGCAATCAAGCATAAAGGTTCAAGTCTAATAATGACCAGACAGCTTCTACTAAGAGAATATTGAATCTTACACAGAAAGATATAACAAGCAATCACATGATCTCAAATCCAATCAACTTAGAACTCTGGTCTAAACTAATCCTCTCATGAAGGTATGAATCTCTATACTAATCTTCTTTCATACCAAATTCCCATTTGAAAAGCATGAATCAATAAGGATTAAGGATCAGTTCTAATATGTCATTTATGCATTAAACTATCACTCTCATGATGAACAAGGCATAAACATTTAGCTTAGCTCTTTCAAGCATTTCATCAAACACCTTTTGGATCAGAGTGATGTGAAAAGATCTAGCATTAAAAGCAGCTAACTAAGGAAATGAGATGAGAATCTAGCACCTAAACATCACAAATCAAACATCTAAGCATCCTAATCTACACACCTAGAAGCTTAAAAGATGACTACTCACTAGTCATGATGAACACACCATTTCCTTTGCAAGAGGTGATGTTGATCATGATTAGAAACAAAGATGAGATGATGAGAAGATAAGAAATAACTTTAGACTGATTAAATACTGTAGATATCTCTTGATCAAACTCGTTTTCACACTAAAGAGGAAAGGAAACAAAGAGAAACTAAACTAAGTGAACCGAACCGAGTCAACCCAGAATAAACCGGATACTGAACCGGTCTTAAATGGATTGCTGGGTGTCTACCTCGGCTTGGGACAGGTCCATGTCAAGGTCTTTAGGTCGAGGGTGTGGTGAATCTTGGCTGTTGCATGAAGAATACATCTTGAATCTTGCCTGATCGTTGTGCTTTGATCTTTCTTGAATCTGAAAACCTGGAGTAAGTTGTTTGTGAGTTTGATCACGTGACAAGGTACCTCGGGGTGTGGTATGACGAGGTCTTTGGTCGAGGTAGCTGGCATTTCATTCGGTGAAAAGGAGCCTTGACCTCACATACCAAGGTGTTCTAGCCGACGCTAGTTTTGACACTTAGTATGGATCTGGGCGAGGTAAATGGTCGAGGGGCTTCCCAATTTCTTTGTGAAAACAGCCTCGGTGTGGCTGTATCGAGGTTCCCATGTCGAGGTGAAGGAACACACTTGGTACATGCGCATCTCTTGGAACCTGATCAGACATGCTTGTCTTCCGCTTCCCGGAACTCTTAGCTCACAACTCCAAATGAAAAAAATCAAGTCCACAAGAAAGATGACTCAATAAGCTCAAACTTTTGTGAAGAAACCAACTCCATCCGAGGTCAGCAGGGCTTTCCAGTAAGCCGATCTTTAAGGCGTATTAAATTGGTCCGAAATGACTTCTGGATATGTACCTCTTCTGTTTGCAATATCTCCCATATAAAAGCTTCAAATCTCTAGATTCTAACTGTTATGGAAACTAGATTCAATTATCTCAAACTCTTATGAAGGCACCGGAGACTGAATCGGACGGGAAGGCCTTCCGGTAATGGCTTCTTTGAGGCGGATCAGCGAGCATGGAACTTTTTCTGAGAGGCATGTCCTGCGGTACATGTTTTGGCCAAGGTTCCTGTACGCGGTATGGATTTTAGCCGAGAAACATCGACATACGGAGAGATAATCTCGCATACTCCTTCCGCATTATAGAAATTCTCAAATCTCCTCCTCATAATATTTAATTTGTTTTCGATTTATTTTAAAGCAAGAAAAAGGGAGAAAATTGGTCAAATACTGGCAGATTCTTACTAAAGTTTCATATTTACTAACCCAACCACGAAGATCCACACCCAGTCTGTCATATCGGGTTGAATCCAAAGAAATCGGGTCTAGGGTCAAAAATTGGAGACAAAATTGTGGTAAGTGTGAGAAGAAAAAAATTCGAATTTCGAAATCGTCTTCTCGTCGTCGTCTTCGCCTAGTATTCTCTGGGACAACTACGAGTGATTTGCTGCTGCCTGTCTTAAATCAACACCTCACTATATCAGGTTCATTCGTCTTCGTCCTCTGATTTCTAATTTCTATCTAGATTACTTTGTAGATTTCAACTTGGTTTTGTGTAGAATCCAAAATTCGATTTATATGTTCTCTATTCGGTTGGCAATTACAAATTAGGAGTCATGGATTTAGGCAACGAAAGAGTGTTTAGATATGCTAGACCAGAACTGTACTCAGATTCCGAATCGTCGCAGGAGAAAATGGTAGAAGGAGTTGCCGAATCAGAGACGGGTAATAATCAGATAGTATTGTGGAGGGGAACTGAGGCTGAGGCTGAGGAGGAGGAGAATCAGCCATTGCCACCCGTGAGAATGTTCTTCGAGCCCAATCAGTATCATAATGCAATAAAGCTGGGAACAAGATGTTATATCCACAAAGCTGTTGCGAAATTGGAGTCCCTAGACCTTGAACCACATGAGCTGTTATGGTTTACAGAACACCCACAGTTCAAGCACTTTGGCATATGCATAGGGCCATGCATGAGGACATAACACACAAAATGATGGGAATGTGGTTGCTTCTTCTTCGGACAGCAAACACAGATAAGAAGAGGGAAGCTTGGTTTGTAGTGACTGGCGTACCAATTCGCTATTCCCTTAGAGAGCATGCCATTTTGTGTGGATTAAACTGTCTCCCGTACCCAGAGGACTATGATAGCATATGAAATTCTTCGTTTAAGAATAGATATTTCTAGGAAACCGTCCCCTCCCTTGCTGTTATTGAGAAAAAGTTAGAGTCGATGCGAGGACTAGTTAATCCTGATCGGTTGAAGATGTGTGTCGTCTACTTCTTATCCTCTATAATTAGTGGGAAAATGAAAACCGGTAACGGAGCACCATCTGTTGACCCCTTATTCCTGAGGATTGTGGATGATCTCGAGGCTTGTAAAAGGTTTCCTTGGGGTAGGTATTCATTCGATGTAAATATGAAGGAGATTGAGCACACAATGAGGCATTTCAATAGGGTCGTCGGAACAGATGCGTGGACATTTCCAAGCTTTGTTACTCCCTTGGAGGTATGTCACATTATAAAGAATTTGTAACTATGTAATTCTATGAGCGTAAGTGTAATTTGTTGGGTTTATGTGTAGTTGCTAGCCTTTGAGGCCATCCCATGTCTGAAGAACAAATACAGAGAAGATGATAGAGGAGCAGGGAGGGATTGTCACCAGATGTGCAGGCAGAAGTTCCAACCATTCACACTAAAAGGTTTTCCTTTGTCGAAACTCTATGAAACACTGGGTAACACTAGGGTCATCGAGAGTACATTGCAACCATCCGAGGATGAGGTAATTATGCTTGCTGGAGTCATGGAGAGGAATGAAGAGGAAGATATCAGTGATATTGTTCCTGAAAATTGGACGAGGCGTTTAGTTGAGGAAAAGAAGCCGATATTCTGGAAAGAGATATGCAAGATCGATGTTGATGCCCGAGATAATAAGGAGTGGGTAAATCATCCTGTAGCGGGTAAGAATAATGTGGGGACGGAGAAGGTGGCGTCTCTTGGAATTGTGGAACAGCTTCAGAGCTTGCAGAAGAGTATGGACGCTCAGTTTCTCCGAATCAGTGCTCGAATGGATGGCTTTGATACAAGACTCTGCTCTGTAGAACAATATGTAAAAGAGACAAGAAGAGAAAGGGAAGGACCAGGAGATGAGGGAGGAGAAGTTTTTCGAAATGATGTAGAACATGAACATGATCAAGCTGGAGAGAAACTTGAAAGTCTGGCGAAAACTGAGAAAGCGAGGAAGCAGAAACAGTCGAAGAAGAAACAGCCGAAGCAAAAGCCGAAGAAGAAGCAGAAGGAGCCAAAGCAGAAGGAGCCGGAGCAGAAGGAAGCAGAGCAGAAGGAAGCGGAGCAGAAGGAAGCGGAGCAGAAGGAGGCGGAGTAGAAGGAGGTGGAGCAGAAACAGCCGGAGCAGAAAGAGCCAGAGATGAATGAGCAGAGCTGAAGAGGCAGAGCAGCTTGTAGCCCGATCTCCGTACCTGCTTAGAAGTAAAGAGGTATTGAAGTTTGAAGAGTAATATCCATTGTTTTGGTAATACTTAATATTTTGTGGTAACACTATGTTGTAATACTTGGTATGTGTAGGTAGAACCAGACGGTGCTGACGTTGTGAATGCAGAAGTGGGTGCAGGTAAACGGAAACAAGAGCAATCGAAGCTAGGGCCAAACACAAAGCAGAGACGTTAAGTCTCGTATGACATTTGATATATGTATTTGTATTTGGATTAAACTGAATTAGGGTGTGTTCTTCTATTTCTATTATTGATTTTTGATTATTGAAAACCAAATATTGGGAAAACTTGGTATTATTGGTGAAACCACATATAAATGGTATAACCTAGTATTATTAGGTGTAACCATCTTAGTATTATTTGGTGTAACCAGTTATATATGTGGAATACTAGGCCTAAACAGTTTGAGTTAAAATTATTAGAATAATATTTGTACAGAACATCAGGGAGTACTAAACATAACGTAATGTGCACATACGGAATCCAGAACATAAGAAAGTACAAAAAACAAAAGACATAAGACAAAAAACATCAGACACATTCACCAGTCTCCCATATCAGGAAAAACCCTAACTACCCGGTACACATATAGGAAGAACCTTCCGCATTCGCGAGTTAAGAATCCATATAAGGTCACCAATTGTGTTAGCCGACTTCGCTGGAACCTTTTCCAGTAGTTCGTCTGGTAGGGCTAGTAGGTATGAGTACTCTGCCATGGATTTATATATGAAAGTGGTCAAGGCCGAGTTTTGTGGAGAAATGTTCTGAAACCCTAAAAGAAATGATGGATTTTGTAATATAAAAGGAAAATCTGAGAGGAACCCTAAGAGAGGGGACGAAAGAAAAAGTGATGGATTTGGGAAAGTAATGAAGAAGTAGAATGGATTTCGGAACTTCTTTGCGAACTTAAATAATAGAAAATGGAGGAAGTGAGAGGAAGTGAGTAGTCACGTCGAATAAACACGACCGTATGAGAGAGAGAGAGAGAGGAATATCGGAATAACTGCTACTCTCGTTAATGCGTTATCGAAAATATAAACTCTATCCTCTAAATTAATAAAATTGGGACTCTTATATTTTTAGAGAGAGTTATTAATTTATAATGAAATTAATTGGACTAAAACATAAATTTGGGATCAAAGAAATTTATTAATTAATCGAGTTTAATAATTTATCGAATATTAATTTATAGAGTTTCTACTGATTAAGTTTTACTCATATACTGCGATATTCGAACATTATGTCTAGATTACTAAATTGTTGCCATGTTATATATCATCAAGTTATCGTCAATTTTTCTTACTAAAATTTTAAACCAACCAGAAATAATTTCTCCAAAGATAAATTACTAAATTACCATAAATATCAAGGTTCTTAGGAAAAAAAATAGGAGATTACATATATGATTTTTTTTTAAAAAAAAATAGGCTTCATTTGTAATTCGATGACATTCCAGACCTCTTCCTCTTTATCTTCTTCATCTCTCCCTTCGAACAGAAATGTAGAAAATCTCACTTATGTTTAAAAATCATATAGCCAAACAACATCAACTGATTATTTTCCAGTCATATACATTTCAACTTTTTTGAGATTTGTCATAAAAAAAAAAGACTAATTACTTACCCATCCGGATGTGTCCATGTTTCGAATTTCTCTCTCTACGATTCCGCAATGCATGCACTTCAATCCTATCTCCAGATCCAGAATCAATTCGTGTTCCGGTTTTGTACAATGTTTGTGGGGAGGTTTATCGACTGAGATGTCTTTGTCCTTCTCCTGAAAAAAAAAAATATATATATATATATATATAAATTTTCACTCATAATCAGGACATATTTTATAAACTATTAAACAGAGAGAATATATTACCTTTGGAAGATTTTGCTTGAATTGTTCCCACAACTCTGCTTGCTCGATCTCAAAATCAGTTGGCGAAGGTGGCGACTTAGGTTCTACCACACCAAATCTCATGTTCAAAGGTGGTGGGTTGATGATTAGCAGATCATTCTCATCATATTTTTTTCCATCTGATTTCTCCATTTTGTTTATGTATTGTTAGAAACGATGAGACTACTTGAAGAATGCTAGAAGTACAATATCTCGTATATAGACAATGTTCCCTGGATGATATTTGGAGTGTCTACTCAGCATTTACTTACATGATTTATTGTATAAACGCGTTGCATGGAAAACGAGGAAAGAGGGAACGACACCTTTATTTATCTCTGTAAAAGGAGAAGTGAATAAATTAATATATAATAAAAACTGTCTATACGAAGTGTTTAATCGTTGCATTAGTGTTGGTAGTTATACCAGTCTTACGGCTGTTAATGCTTTCATTAACTGCAGTAAGACTGGTACAACTACCAACACTGTATTTGATTTTTACTCAATACATTAAGTAAATAAATATTTTCGGGTTTAGTAGGAGAAAGAAAGATGTGACTTTTAACTGCTCCGCACGATAATGCTGAACGGTTTTGAAGGGTATTTATTATATGAGGCGCACCCTAGGGTTTTGCCTTTCTCTTTTCATAAATATAACTCGCTCTCTCTCTCACTCATATTTAGTGCTATCGTTGCTCTCTTTATCACTTCAAAATGGACCCTAAGGCGTGGATCATGACTCATCTGAGGGAGTTGGTGCGGTTTCCGGCGAGTGGGTTCAGTGCAGGGCTGGTGGCGGAAGACATTTACGAATGGCAAGCAACGCTGTTAGGCCCCCCTAGTAGTCCATACGAATGGGGCATCTTCTTCATCTCCATCCGTTTCCCACCGGATTACCCCTTCAAGCCACAAATAGTTTCGTGGAAGACGCCGATTCTGCACCCCAATATCGATAAACCCCGCGTCTTCCATCCGCTACTCGTCACCGCTACCTGGAAGTTTGGAACGACGGTGAAGGAACTCCTCCAAGCGCTCCATGACATGCTGCTTCACCCTAAGGTCGAGGAAGAGGACAACTACCTCGCAGACGTCGCACGCATGTGCTCTTGAAACCGGAGCTGTTCAAGAAGGAGGCCCGCCTGATGACTGAGGCACACACCATGAATTAATTCATGGTGTTTTTAACAATAAAATAATAAATTTTATGTTTTACTATTTTCCGTTGTAAAATATTTTATTATTTAAAAATTATGACAGTAAAATAATATTTTATTATTTACAAAAAAAATATTAGTAAATTTCTCTGTGTTATTCTATCCACTATATTATCTCAGTCGATACATAAGGAATCCCTAATAAGGAAACCCTAATACTCAATATCAATTGGTGTAACCACATGTATTTCCGAAAATCGAAATATGTAATACTCGGTATCATTTGGTGTAACCACATGTAATCCCGAAAATCGAAAATATGTAATACTCAGTATCATTTGGTGTAACCACATTTTTATCGGATAATCGAAAATATGTAATATTTGGTATCATTTGGTGTAACCACATGTAATCCCGAAAATCGAAAATATGTAATACTCGGTATCATTTAATGTAACCAAATGTTTATCGGATAATCGAAAATATGTAATACTCTGTATCATTTGGTGTAACCACATGTTTATCGGATAATCGAAAATATGTAATACTCGATATCATTTGGTGTAACCACATGTTTTTTCGGAAAATTGAGTAAGTCATGAGTACAACCATGAATCATAACTACTTGAACAGGTAGATAGTTATAGAAACCGAGGCCACAGCAAGAACAGATAGAACAACCATGTCCTTAACTTCCTTAAATATCTTAGTTTGTCGCGTCTGTTCCAATTCCCTATCCATTTCTTTGAAAACCAAGTCACAAACCATCTTATAAAGGAGAGCATGAGACCTCCTTACCTCAACCATTTCCTCCTTCAGGTTGTTTACCGATTCTTGTAGCTGGGAAATCTCCGTCGAGTGAATCCGGTTCATAGTTCTAGTCCAACCACTCCGGCCTTGCATCTCGGTCAAATCATGCCGAACATCTGCAATCTCTTCTAGCATCGCCTCATCACACCACTTGAAGAGATGACATCCGGGGTTCTACAAGACACAAACCGTATAAATATTTTTGGTACGAAATTAAAATCAATCACAACAGCTGAACTTACGTATTCCTTATTGCAAGCGAATAGTCTTCGTCCCAGATCCAAAACGGTGTGGGAAGTTTTGATGATTTGTTTACGATGACAATAACATAATCGCGGGATTCGAGAATCTTCGTACAATTCGGGTTGAGGGCTCCCGCTTGAAATCTCCGAGTCGGACGACAAGCCGAGACTTGGCATTCTTGCAAGAAATTGTTTTTTTTTTGCAAACAACTGAGTGTTTTATGTTTTGGTTGTGATTTGTACGTAAACCCAGATATTTTAATGAATTTTGATGTTGGGGGAAAATCAAATTTGGAAGTGTCTGTTTTGGGGGGGAAACTCAAAATTGGAAATGTATGTTTTGGGCGGGAAAAACAAATTTGAGTTTCGTGGATAAACCCGGGACACAAATAATAATTGTAGTAGGGTCTATTTGTTCCACCCAATAAGACACGTGTTCAAGTGAAAACACATGTCGTTTATTGTAACTGGGAATTTAAAACGTAGTTGTGCCTTGTTTTCCAGTTATACACATCGTCCACATAGTGTTACTTTTGGTGGATATACCGTATTTGCAGTAATACTGAAATTTCAAGACTATATTCCGGTAATACGTTTCATAATTGGTTATAACAGCAAATTATCAACTTGTTCAGCAAACAAAATTCGAGGAAAAATATGATACGTATTCTTTCTATCATTGATGGCCTAAGCTTGACAATGTGACTATAGAAAGAGATTGACACTTAAGTGTCGGGTGTGGTGAGATTCGTATTATTTCTTCATTATTTTTAGTTGTTT